GTGATGGGCTGTTCGAGAGGGTGAAGGAAGAAAAAGTCCCACTACTAGAACGGACAGGACCCCCAAAACCAAAATTAACACTATCAGCAGTGTAAGGAATGAGTACCTGCGTCTCAGCAACTTTCTGAGAAGCCTCCTCCATCAGAGGGATTGGAGCAAACTTTTGATTATTGATTTCCAAAAGGTTGGCCGTCAGCGAAGGAAGAGGTGGAGCGGAAAAGTCGGAAGACTTAGAGGAAGTTGCCATTTCAGTAATAGGGAGATTAAGAGGAAAACAAGATAAAAGGAGGGGGCGCAAGGATGAAGACAGGAACTCAAGGAAGAAGATGAAAGTGTAAAGGGACAAAAGTTCGCGTAAAAAACCTGAGTAGAAAACCAATAGAGTTTAAAAGGGAAAATCGTTTAGGGGGCTGGAAACGACGGAGGTGAAAGGTAATAAATGTAGCATGTACTATAAAAGCAGCAGACTGACGAGATGGCGACGTAAAGCAAAAGGGAAAACTAAAACCCTTTTAACCCTAGAACCCTAGAAACCCTAAACCCTAAGTCCTGTGGGCCTCCAAACACTAAGGCGGGAATATTGAAAGAATATAAACAGAAATCATTTATATTCTTCCAAGGGGGCATTTTGTTAGTAGAAAATCGAGAAAAGCGATCGAAAATGAGGGAAAGGAAAGAGAGAACACGTGACTGATAAAAAACCATTCGATGTCTAAAGCACGTAACACATAACATCGATAAGTACAATCGAGAATCGAAGGAACGATAGTCAAATGCCTATTGTCGAAACCTAAGAAACTAGAATGATAAGACGTTAAGGTTGAAAAGGAATCGTAAGCAATTCGAAGTTCTCGAAAGTGTAAAATCAAAAATGAAGAAAGCTAACCTACACGGACATCGAAAACCTTGGCCAAACCATAAAGAGAAGAGTAAGTCAAACGCACGGATAGAGAGCAGTTTCTAAACCATGGAGGAAATCAAAGATCGTGAGAACGTGGAAAACCGTAGGAGATAAACCGCCATATGCACGTAGAACGTGGTAGCGATCGTGTTAACTCGCTCTTGGAAGACTTGAACGATGCACTATAAATAGAGCAAAGAAGGAAGAAATAGGGGCGGAAATTGGCGAGAGAACGGAATCGGTAGTGAAAAGTCTACCGGAGAAACGACGAACACCATGAAGCTTATGGCAACCTGGATTTCCTTGCTCACTGAGTACATTTACCGCTTTCTGTATTTTCCTTGGTAATTTACTTTGATGCAACTTAAATTCAGCAAGTTTAAGTTTCTGTTTTTTCGATTCCTTGTCATTTCAATTCAATGAAAATTTAAGTTTCTGTATTTACGATTTCCTGTCATTTAACATTTTGCAAATCTCGATTTCCCGTTATTTAACATTCTGCAAATCTCGATTTCCTGTCATTTACATTTCTTGCAATCTCGATTTCTTGTCATTTATATTTGCGCTGTTTTCGATTTCCTGTCATTTACAATTAATGCAAATTTGGGGTTTTCGCACTTTACATTTCCTTGCAAATTAATATTCCGTTTCTCGATTCGATACTTTTATTGCTTTCGGTATTTTAAATATAAAATACTAAAAAATAGCATTTGATATTCTGTGACTTTCGATTCTCATACACGTTTTCGATTGAAAGTCAGACTGTTAGCCCAAGTAAAAAGAACTTACGTGGTAGAATTTTGATTAGGACCAAATCACTTTCAGAATCGAAATCGATCGAAATTCCACCAGAAACATACTAATAATGATGAAATTAAGAGCACAATAGTCAAAACATCACCATGTTACTTCGAAATGGCTTTGGTTTGGGACAAGGAATGTGGTCGTAGCACCGTGAGCTCACATCTCATTTCCTCCTTCAAATCGAAAATGAATATATTCAACACCGCTTCTAGTGATAAGCCACAGATACAAGGTTGGCCAAGGACTCAAACCGAACATGATATACTCTATAATTGAACTCGTCTATTGCAGCTTAAACAAATTCGTTTCATGATTATCGTAAGAAGATGAACCATACAGAGTTCAAGCATACGAATATACGAATAAACGCATCCCATCCATTGCAACCAAGCCAGCACAGTCCCCCACATAAAGAAGTGGAAAAGAGCCATCTATTGCATAGGAGTAATTTACGTCAATCCAAAATATTGTTCCGCTTGAAATATCCACTCGAGGTCACCATCGTTGAAATGAGGAAGTGTAATCAAAGACAATCTTGGATCAAACATTGACTGAGGTGGTGGGATTTGACCCAAAGGTCAGCCACCTCCATCGCAATGGAGGCAAACTAAAGTTGCATAGCATGCGTTTGTTCTAAGTATTTGGATAACACATCAATAAAAGTATGAAGGAGAATATTCTTCCTGAGCAAGAAAGACGTAAAAAAATGGATCAAATTCTTGTTATTGTGTATTAGAGATCAATGGACACATGAACAGTGGGGATCTTATAATTTATCTTGGATGGATAAAATAATATATTATTAATAAATAATAAATAAATATAAAATGAAGTAAGAAGATGAAAGGATAAAATTGTAAATATATACTTAAATATATTAAATGATCGTTAAGTTTGAGGAAAACAAACTCATAAATAATATGAGAGTTACAAAGCTGAGGAAGAACTGGAGGATAAAATTGTAAATATATAAGTAAATACATTAAATGTTCATTAAGTTTGGGAGAGTCAAAATCATAAATTATATGGAGTTACAAAATTTTGGGGTCACCGTCTATTACCTCCCAGAAAGATCTGCACATAAAAAGCTAAAATAACATGTTATTGAATAAAAAAGATAATGCACAATAGAAATTCAAATGTAAATATTTGTCCACTTCAGCTTTGTTTTGTCTCTTAGGTCTATTAAGCTTCCAGATAGCAATTGACCCAACTCTTTCTGTCTTGAGTCTTCAACTTGAGCTCCATCTTCCGAATGTAACCTCCGAAATGATCCAACTCATCTATAAGAACAAATAATGGTAAATTGGTCCTAAGTGATGCAATTTGCTTCTGTTTATTCCCAGATAATTTTTTACAAAATATGGATACAAGGAAGAAGTCGTGGATGGGATGACCACTTTATTTGAAGTCGTAAGTCGTAAGTTGATTGACAATTTTAGTTTAATTTTTTTTATACTTGTTAATTAATTAATAATTTCAATTCAACTTTTTTTATACTAAAATGGTTAATTGGTCGATGATTTTAGTTAATATATTTTTAAATTAAATTTTTTATTTTTAAATATTAAAAGTTTTATTTAATATTTAAAAAATATTAAATAAATAAATTAATTATTATTTAAATGTTTATAATATTAAATAATTTTTAAATATATTAAATTGTTAAAAAGAAAATATTAATATGTCAATGAAGAAAATACATATATTATATAATAAAATAAAATTTTATATTTTTATAGTTAAAATGGACAATTATCGCAATAATGATGTTTATTCTAACATGATAAACAATTTTTTTCCTTCTTTAAAACAGATTCATCCATTTTATTGCGAATGTGATTTATTACTAATCTTCCTTATTGTTGTATTGGATAATGAACAAATTTTGAACATGAATAAGAAGACAAATAATATTCATTTCAAACGAGATGAAAATATAATATTAGAACAAGTGTCCATCATCATAAAAAGTGTCCAAAGACAAAGGCAAGACGCAATATTAGAAAACCACAGTGTGGAACAAGTTCTCATCATTATTATTTTTTTTTTACTTGTTTAAGTTTTTAATACATGTTGCACTTTTTTTAATGTGTATTTACTCTCTTTTTTACTTAACATATTAATTTTTTTAATATATTTAAAAATTATTTAATATTATTAACATCTAAATAATAATTATTTTATTATTTTTTATTTTATTAAATATTAAAATCAAAATTTTATTAAATAAAAATAAAAAATATAATTTAAAAATATATGAATTAAAATCGTTAATCGATGGACAAATTCAAGAAAAAAATGGAACTAAAGTGTCAATTGATAACTTCAATTTAAAAAAGAAAAATCAACTCAAAATAAAATTCTATTAAAGTAATGTATTAAAGTACCACTAAAAAAATATGTGAAAAAATTATAGTTATTTTTCACGTAACTTTTTCAATATGAAGTCATTTGAAAGCATAAATTATCCATAACCGAAATTTTTTTAAAATTTACATTTAGGTAATAATATTAAGAAATTGGCAAGAATAGTTATAACTCTTAATTTTAAGCTATGAAAACTTTAAGAATGAAATTACTTTTTACTTTGGTAGAAATAATCTTATAGAATAAACCTAACAACGAATATACCTTTTACTTGTTTGAAGAAACAAATCCTCCTAATATGAAGGATGCTTGCCAGACGCTAATTTGTACACTTTGAAGACCACAACAACAAAATGTTGTCAAGTTATCTTGTCCTACAAATTTAATAAAATCATCTTCAACTTTGTTTGTGCTGAACTTAACATTAAAGTCGCCAAGTGCCCTATATACCATTCAACCCGTCTCCAATTATTTATTGGTCAAAAACATGAATTTAGAAACTTTACTTAAAAAGTTCAATTGAAGAGTATAAACAATTAACCGATGATTGAGGCTGAAATTTAAATGCTACAAGGGCTTGTACAGCTCTAATTGACACTATCAATCAAGTTTAAGAGAAAACTCACGAGTGAATGCAAATGTTATTAACTTTCTAAGGTTAAAGGCCTGCACCACTCTGCATGACATTATATGCGGAGAGCACAGCAAAATGCCCCACTGATCACATAAAAATATCCATTAAATTTGATGAAAATACAGTAAAAGGAAAAAGGACTAATTAATACAAGAAAACAAATTGATAATGATAACTGTCATGAGTTCTACAAGCAAATTTTCCGCAGAAATGCTGCCCAGTCAGAGAGAGACCTATATGAGATTTGATCATGAATCGGGCACGTGCCTTTGTTTCTCAGATTTTCCACAATTATGAATGAATGACACCAATCTTCTTAGCAAAATCATCACCGTCCTCTTCATCCATGTAATCTTCCTCTTGATTTTCACCCTCTTCACCTTGTTCATACTCATAGTATCCCTCATCACCTTGCTCATACTCATAGTCCGCTTCTCTCGCATCGTCACCTTCATAATACTGATCTTCACCGGCTTCATCATACATTCCATCCTCATATTGACCATGAGTTGCCTCGGTGTCTCCTCCAGCTGCATCAGTGACCTCAAGCTTGGATTCTTCATCATTATTTTGATTCTTGACATATTCCTTGGTTTCAGACAGCACTCCATTTTGTGTGTTTGTGTCGGGCGTAGGATCTGAGCCATTGGTAACTTCATTCTTAAAATCAGATGATTTGCCATTCCCAGAGTCTGCACCAGCTCTGGCTCCAGCTCCTCTCTTCTCCTTCAGAATTTCACTAAGAGGCTTTGGACCATCAAACTGAACATCATCTTCAGATAATGGGTGATCATCTATTAAACTTCTCTTTCCCAACGATTGCTGCTCCCTATTGTCAGTGTTCCTCCCATTTTTAAGCTCAGCAAGACTTTTTGGTCCTGCAAAATCACTCCTATCACCACCCATTAGTTCTCTCCCCATCAATCGATCCTTGGAGTTTCTCCTCTCATCATCTTGCAATCTTCCTCGCATTCTATCATGTATCCTTCCCTGGTGAGTGGCCTGCAACCTTCCAGACAACAACCTGCCTCTACTTCTCCCTCTATCATCCCTCTCTAGCTGATCAGCACCACCATCGGCTGGAAGTTTTATTCTACCACGGAAGCGATTACCGAGGGAGCCCTCATTCAAAGGTAACTGGAGTGACTCCTTTCGGGAGAAGGACCGTTGGCTCTGTTCCTCACCATGTCCCTCAAGGGCATAATCATGACTGACAACAGATTTCAAACCATTGACCTTTCTGCGCTTGGATAAATGATGTCGGAGATCTGAGACCACAGCATTTTCAGGACTGTCTGATCTGCGGCGAGACCTTTTGTCTAAATGGGCTGAAGCCTTCCTACGTTGCTCCCAAACATATGGTTCCTGCATGTGATCATACGACTCATAACCTTGGGGCATACGGAATCTTTCCCGATCAATATCAGCTGCTAAACCATAATCACCCGAATTTCCTAAATCATATTCGTTCAAATTATCTAAGTTCCTTTCATCCTGACCTCTTGCTTTACCAAATTCATCTTCCCCATGGTAGTAATCAGAATTCCTAAGTTCATCAGCAACAAGAACATCAAACCCAGGAGATGATTCTCTGAGAAACTCATCACTGTCCTTGCCACTGTGGAAATTGTGATCATCTGGCACACGAGCTTGATGCAGACGGTTTGACCGGGCTACAGTAGGGCCATTGGATACTGGTGGTGAACTTGGCTTATATCTAGAAGCCTCATTATCAAATCCTACAGAGGGTAGTGCAATTTTCTTCTCCAATTCAAACACATTTCTTTGAGGAGCAGATTCAATTTTTTGGGCAGGTTTAGGTTCAGGGCCTCCACCTGACTTTGCAACATTTCCTTGGGATGTTTTCCTTTCCTGAGTATATTGTTCATCGGTGCCAAAAGGCTTCTTAAAATTTGGATTCTCACCTCCTTGGCTGGTAACTGGAACCTGAGCAGCTACTTTATTACCAGTGCTAGGAGCAGGAGGTCCATGCATGAAGGCACATCTGTCACCTTTTAAGCAAAGCCCTTTTTGAAAGAAAAAGCATGGCACAGCTTGTTTACTGGAATTATAAGGTGCATGTGTTGCTGATGCTGTTGGTATCTGTGAAGGGGGCACAGATACAGCTGATCCACCAGCCGTTGTTGCCTGCGTTCCTAACAAGCCATCAAGGGGCTGGATTCAAAAACATAATGCAGTCAGCATAGTTCATACAAAGAGACAATAACAGAGGAAAATATATAAGTAGGCCAAAAATTAACATGAAAGTATAAAATTTCGTGCTCACAAAAAAGACACTCACCGGATGACGAAATGAACATTTGGGATTCAAGCAATTACCACTCAACCAATAACGACAATCCCTAGGATTAATTCGTGCATACTCACTATGCCGGTACTCACATTCATTTCCCTGTTCCAACAAAGGAGGAAACAAATCAAAATGACACCAGCAACAAAATCCAGAGTTCAAAATGTTTTAGATGACAAGATAATCTCACATTCTTGATAACCAATACTTGTTTTCTGGATATGCAAAAAGCATTTCCGTTACTCTACTACATACAGTAGTAAACAACTCACGTCACCAAAAATGCACAGCATCACAGTAAAATACTTTATTTGCTAGGCACCAAAAAATAAAAGCTGCGTGATAGTAAAATACTTGCATGGCACCTAAAAAAAAAAAACAGAGCAACAGTAAAATACTGTATTTGAAGGGAACCAAAAAAATGGGATGACACATTTAGTAGAAGAACAAGGAAACTAGTACAGGCATTTGACAGAAAAATTATGACAAAATATAGCAATTTCAGGTAAAATGTTAAAATATAGCAAAATATCTTCAAGGATTATGCAAAAGAGTGCCAGCAACACAAGTAGACATCGCAGATCTTGCTAACTAAACACCATTGAGACTAATCGATCAACATGATTCACATAAGCTCTTAGCACCATGTAGCGGCAGTTTGTTAAAAATTGTTTTAATAAAAGTTCATCCACAAAGCAAATTGTTCCTTTGCTTTCAAAAACAATCAAAACAAAATGAATAACACTTTAAACCATACAAGACAAAGCCTAAACTTGATTGATCCAACCTTATGTTTTCTGAGCTGGATCCATAGGATTGACCTAATTAAACAAAATAAAAAATTAAAGAGAAATCTCATATCCAATCGTAATAAGGCTCAAAAACCCTGTTCCCCCTCATTCCCGTCATCTTATCAAATCAAAGGGAAAAGGGTGAAAACACACAATAAAATAACGCCAAGAAAGATCCAATTAATAAACAATGATGAATAACAGTTTCACAAACACTAGACATCCAAAACCGCAATCCAAAAATAAATAAATAAATAAATAAATAAAACCCTATCTATCCACAAAATACCCCATCTCAATCCCCCAAACTAGAAAATTCGGGGAATTCCCACAGACTCCCACAACCCCTTTTCAACAAAATTCGATTTTCCCCATTGAAAAAAACGACACCACCATAACTATCTGCAGAAACACACGAATCTGAAACCCTAAAAAACATAATTCCCAAAGCGGCAAAAAGGGGATTTTTCCCCTCTTTTGTATGAAGAAACGGGATAAAAAAAAGTGCGAAAAATAACCTTTTTGCATGTCAAAGGAGATGCAAGAAAGTACACACAATCGGTGTTCCTCTTCAAGGCCTCGTCTTGCGAAGAGGGTGTGGGCTGTTGCGGCTGAACCTGAAGCTGCGGTTGTTGGTTCACCATAGCTGTCGTTGAAGTTGAAGTTGAGGACCCCAACCCAACCGGATGAATAAAAGGAAGAGGAATGAAAGATCAAATCAGAGACAGAGAGAAGGAGAAGAAGATGGATCCAAATCTCAATCTGAGAAGAGAGAATAAGTAGAGAGAGAGCCGCCACAGAAATTGGGGTCAGAGCTTAGAGAGAGAAAAAGAGAGAGAGTGTGTTCAAGTATGTGAATGTGATGGGTTTATATGGAGCAGAGAGAGGGTAAGGGTGAGCCTGGCCTGGTTTCGGCTTCTGTTTTCATTTTTTTAATTTATTTATTATTTTTGTAGAAATTCATATTAATGTGTCTGCTATGTGTTTGTGTGTTAATGATTCTTTTTCAATGTTTCATACCAAAAATGTAGTGGGACACTTGCCTTAATTCCGTTGGTTCATCGTCTTTTCTCTCTGATCTTCAAACTCTAATGCTAATGTCACAATTAATTTGGGTTTGAGTTTATATTTTTATGTTAAAACCATAAATAGTATTAATATCAAGAGAAAAAAAATCCTTTCAAAAAAACTACTAGCAACCCACAATTTTTTTCTTCATGTACACAAAAAAATAATAGCATTATATCAATATAACACTTGTATTCTTTTAGATTAATTGTATAAACACTTTCTAATTAAGAAAAAAGAACAGTAATTAGCATTAAAAGAAAGACATACATGATTATAATAAAATTCAATTATGTTCATGTTTATTATAAACGAGAAGACAATTATTTAATTTTCTTTTTAATATTTTTTTCTTGTAATATAATAATTAAGATGAAAAATTATTTATATTATATTAAAAAATGAAAAATTATTTATATTATATTAAAAAATAAATAAATAGTAAAAATAAAAAATAAATTTCTAATTTTTACTTATTATTATTGTTATTATTATTATTATTATATATATATATATATATATATATATATATATATTTATGTGTATGGGGTTAGTGAACTCGCAAGTCAACTAGTTGATTTTGAGGAGTTAACAAGTTCGATGGTTGGTCACGAGTTAACTCGTAAGTATACTTATTTTTAAATTGACTTAAATTTAAACTCAATGGACTCGGTGGACTATAAGCAAACTTGCAAGTGTGAAGGTAAGTGAACGTGTTTGGTGAAAAATCAAACGACACTTACATAAGTTGTGAATATTAGATATGGATATGTGTTTTTATTTTTCACACTCTTTGCCTTTCTCACCATTTGTTGTTGCATTGTATTGATTATTGTTAGCGCTGCATTGCACTGATCGCTAGTCTCGTTGTCGTGTTGCTTGTTTATTGTGCATTGCTCGTTAGTCACAAGTTGTGTACTGCTTGTCGTTGAAGTCACTGTTGGTCACGTTGTTCATTGTTGAAGTCATCATTGGTCGCTTTGCTCGATGTTGGTCTCATTGCATAACATAGGTTGGTTGGAATTAAGGATTTTATTTTATATGCTTGCAATTCTTCATCTCACAGTTCTAATTTGGATTTAATTTTTTTTTAATATGAATAGTCTTATTGAAATATTTTTTTATTTTTTTACCTTGATTATTTTAGATATAAAGACTGAAATTAAAAAATGTCTAGAATTGATTCAAATTCTCATGAAGCTAATGTAGCTACATCCTCACTTTCACCTAAAAGTAGAAATGCATTGGGAAATAGAACATATATTGGGTGGAAATATGGAATAAATATTTTGGGCAATAAAAAAAGTGAAATATAATTGTTACTCAAAAATATTCAATGGATGAATTTTTATATTTAAGCTTCATCTTTCTTAAATTAGATATAATTTTGAACCTTGTGCTTCGATGTCATAAGAAATTGAAATTTTAATAATGAAAGTTGTCGTAGAAACTAAGGATGTCTCAATGGAGAAGAAAAGGTTGAATAATATTGATGATGAACCAAGTGAAAAAAGTCAAAGCAGTAAGATATTTAAAAATAAAGGAAAGGGTAATAAATGTAGCGATAGAGTTCAAGCTACTCTAAATCAATTATACAAGAAAGGTGATAAATAAAAAATAGATGCTCAAGTTGCTTCATTTTTCTACACAAGTTTCATTCTATTCAATGTTATTAGAAATCTCGCTTTTGCAAAAATGTGTGAGATGATTAAGAGATACGGTATTGAATATGAATCTCCATCTTATCATGTTAGACAGAAACTTCTAAATCAAGCAGTGAAAAATTGATGTAATTCTTCAAAAGTATAGGGATAAGTGGAAGAGAACATGTTGTACAATTATGTCTGATGGATGGACAGATAAAAAAAGACGTTCAATTTGTAACTTTCTGGTAAACAGTCCTAAAGAGACGATGTTTGTTTATTCATTAGATGCCTTAGACATCTCAAAGACTACAAATAAGGTATTTAAGATGTTAGATGATATGGTGGAATTTGTTAGAGAAGATAACGTAGTTTAGGTGGTCAATGATAATGTTGCAAATTTCAAGGCAGTTGGAGAATTGTTAATACAAAAACGAGAGCATCTATATTAGACACCATGTGTTACACATTGTATTAATTTTATCTTTGAAGATTTTGAGAAACATTTTAAGGTCCACAAGTAACTATCAAGAACGGAAGAAGGATCACCACCTACATTTATGATAGAATAATGTTAATTAGCATGTTGAAGAAGTTCAAAAAGGGAAGATACTTGATAAGGTCTAGTATGACTAGATTTGTCATAGATTTTGATTCTAGCTTCTCTTCATGAATTGAAAGCATTATTGATGAGTATGTTTAGTTCTCAAGACTAGAAAACAAGCATGTTTGGAATCTCATAAGAGGGGGAAAAAGTTGAGAACATAGTATTAGATAGTCACTTTTGGAAGAATGTAAAGTGGTTCTTTGATTGGTGAATTCAGATACAAAACCTGCAATGAGTTTCATACATGAGGATATAAGTTGTGCAAAAGAGAAGATTAAGTGCATCTTCAATAATATTAAGAAAAGGTAAAATTTCTAAACTTGATCTTATTTAGAATTTAATTACTTAATTTGTAATCAATTTCAAATGTAGCATAATTGGTATTTTTGTAGTTATGAACTTGTTTGGAAAATCATTGATTGAGAAGTGAGATAATCAACTTCATAGGTATTTACATGCAACAACTTAATTCCCATTTGCACTATGAGCCTAATTTTAGAAATTATGATTTTGAGGTGCAAGGAGGTTGTATACATGCATGAAAAGATTGATTAATAATGCTACTGGAAGGAAAAAAACTATTAATTTATAACTCATTGACTTTTATTATGCAAAATGAGTCTTTTTTATGGAAGATACAAGGGTTATAGGAAAGTCATGCTTCCTGGAGAATGGTGAGAGATGTTTGGGGATGATACTTCAAAGTTGGAAAGGTTTACTATTTGAGTTTTGAGCTTGACTTGTAGTTCTTTTGGGTATGAACGTAATTGAAGCTCGTTTGAAATTGTAATTCAATTTATGTAATTATTTGTAGTTTTTAATTATCTTTCTTTGGTTTATATATTTATTAAAATCGATTATTTAATTATAGGTTCATACAAAAAGAAGAAACCATTTGCACTAGAAAAAAATGAATGTTTTGATTTATGTCTATAACTTGAAATTAAAAAATAAACAAATTAGGAAAATTGTTGCGCTCCCATTTGATGATATTGAATAAGATGATTAATAGATAACTAAAGAGAAAAATAATGCTGAGGTTGAGCAAACTTAAGCAGAAGGTGATGGTGGAAATATTAACTTGGTTAGACCAAGTTCGTATGATCCAATTTTATATGCACTTAAATTTAAAAGTATAGTTTTTTTTATCCCAATATTAATGCACATTTCTCATATGAGGAAGTACTTGACGGTGATAAAGATCACGAGATGATTTCATTTGAGGATAAATAATTTGAAGATTAGATAAAGACATATAAATTTGATAACACTTATATTTTTTTAATTATTTTATTGTTATTTTATCACTTTAAGAACTTATATTTGATTGGTGTATTATTATATGAAATTATTTATTTCAATAATATAGAATTGATATTAATTTTTATTAAATTGATATTTTTCATATGAAATAGTCTCTTACAAATTTACAAATAGAATATACAACCCTCTCACAAATATATATAAACTCTTAAATCTTCTAACCTTATAATATATATATATATATATATATATATATATATATATATATATATATATATATATATATATTTATATATATTTACGTAAACAATTACTTTATATCATTCAAATTTTTAATTATTCTATAAGAAAATTATATTTATAATATTTTTTATATTTTTACTGTATATTTGAATAACTTAAAAAGTTATATTTTTAATATTTTGTTTGAATATATGTTTTAATAGATTAGTAATAAAATATTTTTTTTTATTTTTTATTTTAAAATTAAAAATATATAATTATAAAGTAATAATAACTTTAACTAGGAAAAAATTGTATTTACAATCTCGTATGGAATTAAATAATTTATAGATTCTCCAATTTTAAAATAAATACACTCATATTTTCATATATTTTTAAATAAACCGACCATGTAATAATTCATGCAAATGAGAATTAATATAATAAGATAAAAAAAGTTTGTGAGAGGGTAAAAGAAGTTAAGATCATTGTAAGAGTAACTCCAATTAAGGAATGAGAGTTGCAACAAACACTCAACATACCATTTAATGAATGGAAGGAAGTCAGATCTCGAATCTTTAGTAGCAACACGACTTTTAGTCATTCTCTTAGACGGTTATGAATAAATTTATATTGATTCATTACATGATCCTTAAAATTGATTTTGTTACTGAATTAAATACAAAATATTTATTGAGACCTTATCCAACACAACAACATTAAACTTGTCCACTGCTCTATTATTGGTAGACATAAAATAGTTGGAGAACTTCTCCAAGTTATTTGTCTTACAATTTCTTTCTAACAAATTGAAATCCTAAAGATAAATAACTTTCTTTAC